ATACAGCCCACCCCCGCCCCCTGCCTCACCTCCAGGACTTTTCAGGTTCTAAAGAATGGTCTCCTACTGGACTTGTTTTAAATGGAAAAGAGGAATAGATGACACATTGAGAAATGATGGCAAACTTTGAATTAATTGTAACAAATAAATGGAAAAAGTGAGGAAAGAAAAATGAATTTGTATYTTTGTGGTTTGCAGGTGTGGCGAGGTGGGATATAATCACAGATGTAGCTTACTGCGTGGAATGCTTTTTTTTTTTGTTTGTTTGTTTTAAAGAGCGATAACTGACTTGCATCATACTTTAGACAAAAGCAGACATTTCTTTTAAACTCTTTGTATCCACTAGTAAATAATTTGGTAGTAGAAAATCAGTCTGCAAATTTATTGAGGAGAACCCTGTCATCCAGTACTAACACTCATGAATGTTGAGACTTAGCTGCTAATTTAAAAAGAAAAAGCATTTTACCAATCATGTTTTCATTAAATTACTGATCTGAAATGTTCAAACTCAGTATTATAAGAAAGGTGGGATACAGAGACTGCTGCGTTTTTGATTGGAAGCCTGAAAGAAAAGCAGCCGCCACTTGATTCTCCTCGAGAATCCATGAAGTGCCATTACTGTTGTCCCTCATCGTTGTACAGATTGTCCCTGTATTTCTACGCTTTTCTGATGAAGTAAGAACATCGATTAAAGGCCCGGAATGGTCTTGTTTCCAGCTATGTGAAATGTTGGCAGCTGTCTGACTCATTTACTCCTCCAGCATTCCCACACACACACACACACACAGACATACACACAGGAAAATCTTCATGAAAGGTAGGTTTCTAGTTTTCAATGAACTGTTATAGACTTTACAATATTAGGTGGATTTGGTGTGCCACAGCTATAACTCAACCGTGACACAGATGTTAGGTCGCATTAACAGAGAGACTTTAAGTATTTTCCTAACGGTTCTCCTGGTGTGGTCTGTGAAGAAGCTTCGTTCCTGTGTTTCTTCAGCCTTGGCCCCCTGCCGTGGTTCAGACTCCTGGTAGCAGCTGGTGAGGGTCCTGCTGGGGGCTCACTACACAAACATACACACGGGGTATGTATTTGAGGTTACTTGAGATTTTTTTTAACTGTAGAAAGTGGAAACAGATTTAAGACTTTTTAACATGGATGACAGTTAAACCAACTGGTCCTGAGGGTCCCAGGGAACATTATGCATGTATTTACACACATGCAAGTGTTTATGTATACACACGTGTGTGTGTGTGTGTGTGTGTATGTATGTATGTATGTATGTATATGCACAGAATTCAAGATAAAATAAATCTTTAGAAGGATAATTGGATCCTTTGAAATGGGATTTTGTGGGAAGGTTATAAACAATATCTTACCTGTTGTAGATAGCTCCTTGAACAACTTGTTTGGAGAAATAATTTAYTTCTGACCAGACACAGGAATAAAAATAACAGTAAATTAAATWTGTAAGGCACTTTTCATTAGCAAAAATCATGAAGTGCTACAAAACAGCAACAATAAATCTTGTAAAAATCAAAAAACAGAATTAAAATAATAAAAACAACAGATTTTAAGCCTGGTTAAAAACAAACTACATAAAATCAGTGATGCCATCAAATGGAGCCAGAATAATTAGCTAGTTTAAAAATAGATTTTAAGCCTTTTTCAAAGGAGCTAACAACTAGTCCAGTGTCAAGCCATGTGAGACGACTCTGAGTTGCACAAAGATTTATGAGGAGAATTTTGTCATTTTAACATGAAATTAAATGTAAAACTTTGGAGAATCAGCTCCTTACTGCTGAAAATCAACACAAGTTGATCATGTCCCTCCAAATTTAGCTCTCAATCCCAGATTTGTCTGCTTTCAAGCAAAGACTGCTTTGTACGGTGTAACCAGAGGCTAAAAACATGTCTGTAGAAAGAGCTTATTGTCAGAAATGTTTCCCTCACAGCCCTAAACTCTCCCATCTTACAGCAGCGTTCTGTCTGGGGAACCCACTTTTGAGGAAACGCCGTCATCTGTGAGCCTCTGAGAAGGAGCGTGTGGCAGTCTGAAGGAATTCGTGGAGCTGAGGAGCCACAGAGATCACATTAACGTACAGAGCCTATCATTGTTTTCATTTCTGTGGGGAGAAAGTTGGAGCAGAATCTGCTGTTGATCTCATGTGCTTTATCAAACAGGGTGGTGGAGTTAATCACAGCCAGAAGCGTTGAAGGCAGGAAGAACTGGTGATCCTTGGACGAATGCATGTCGCTCGCCATATTTTATGCCAGAGCCTGAGGTTATTTTATAATGGGGGGAGAAAAGCTAAAAACTCAACAAGTTGAGAGAAGGAGTGAGATATCTTAAAATGTTCTGTAAAGGGAGTTTTGTCTTRGTCACGAGGAAGAGGAGCATGAGAGGGGCTGTCATGAAGCCAAAAGGAAAGGGGAAGGGCCTGACATCAACAAGCTAAAACAGCTGCCCCCCTTTCCCCTGCAGAGAGAGAGGAAGAGGAGCCTGATGGAGAGAGGCAGAGTGGGTATGGAGAAGGTGGGCGTTTGAAGGTTTGTAGGAGAGAAGGAGGTACATGGCAAGTGTGAGGAGGAGGGGGGAGTGTAAGAGGAGGAGAAGGCAGGGTGGAGGGTCAGGTCTCAGTGACACTTCTGTGGGGGGGCTGTAAGAGGAGAGTCCAAGGGTGGGGGTGCCTGAAAGTCATCTGTCATCTGGGGTTGGTTTCAAGACGGGACAGGCTGCCAGAAGGAAGCACAGAGGTGTGAGGAGCCACCGTTTTGGGGGAGCGAAGGAAACATGTCGGAAAACATAACCAGACTCAAAAACATGAAGCATTAGAGGAGGACTTCCAGGGGCGAAGCACTGAGAGAAACACACACACGAGGGAACAGAGCTGTGTGCTGGAGGAGGAATGGGCTGCATCCACAGCTGTGGCAGGATAAAGGATCATGGACCTGACATAGATCCTGGGGGAACCCCCAACAAGGCGGACCTTCAGGTGCATCCTGAACTCTTTCAGCTTGCTGAGGTAAAAACTGCAAAAAAAAGTAACTTTTAATTTTGATAATTTAGCAGAAATATTACCTTACATCACTTGAATTTAGGGAAAAGTGCTTTTTGAGATTGAACATTCTGCCCTGCATGATGTGCATGATGTCTGCAGCGTTTGTCACACACATTACTCACTARACCAAGCAAAGAAATCCAAAGAATCATCACTATGTGTCCTGAATAGATCGGGCCTCGACTTCAAAGCAGTTCTGCACCTCATAGGAGACTTTTCACCAGCTTATTTTGTGAGAGTTAAATTACTTAATGTCATTGTTGTTATTGTACATGAATYAATCCATATGTGGTGAATAAGGATTTTTTTTTAATGTGCTCACAACAGCTGATTCACTTGATCACCTGTTGATGATGTCCCTCAGGCGTCATGAGGAAGTCAGTGGTATAAGTTACCGTCTGGTTTGGACCCACCGCCTTCCTGTCTGCTGGGTTTATTTAGGAGCAGGCCAGCCTTGTATGTGAATAAAACCTCCAGAGGGCTTTTACACAAAACAAAGAAGGGGGTTGGGGAGGTCTCCGTTTGATTTGACACCAAGGCTGCACACCAGTGTTTGTGTGTTCTCACATGTCAGAATGAATCAGTGCCACAGAACAAACAGGTGAAGAGCAGCTACCTATTCTGAAATTTCCTTTTAAATTTGAACAGAAATGTATTTAAGCCCAGTGCATTCTGCATGAATCGTGAGTGAAATTAGAGCAAATATCTTTTTCTTTTGTCTCAGGAGACTTTGCAAAAAGTAAATATTAAGATCAGATCTAGTCTAATTATAACAGCTTAGCTCAACTCAGTCCAACTTAGAGTTTTATTAATCATTGAGCAGCAGAGGTGTCAAAAGTTTACACTCATTACTTAAGTAGAGGTACAGATACTAGGGTTTAAAAATACTTTTTTGGAAGCAGAAGTACTTCCAAAAACAACTCAAGCTTTTTACTCAAGTAAAAGTTTAAATGTACTGGTTTTAAAACTACTTAATCTATAAAAGTAAAAGTAATGAACACTTAAAAAAAGCCATTATGGATAAAAGCTCAGGCTGTGCCACAGGGTTCTATGGCGCAGTGGTTCTCAAAGTTGGGGTCGGGACCCACAGTGGGGTCCTGAAAATATATTTTTTAATTAATTACACGGAAAAAATGACAACTAAGAACACCTTTTCCTTTGTTTTTACAAAATAATAAGATTAGTGTACTTAAAATGGACAAAAACCAGCATAATAAATAATGTATGCTTTTGTTTATTTGACATAAAAACAATGTTTATCCACCAACAACAACAGCTGGGAACACAGGTCTCCGCTGCTGGTATTTTGTGGGTCAAAAGCTGAGACTTTTGGGAACCACTGCTATAGCATATGGCGAGTATCCCCCCCCCCCCATTATTCTTCTAAAGTCAATAATAAGTATAATGTTGAATTAAAAATGTTAATGTTGAAAAATAAATTTAGAATTAACTGACTAGACTACTTGTTTCAGCCATGATCATCTTCATTTTAGGCTGCATGCATCTGTTACAGTATGTCCTGCTGGAATGTGATGTGATCTGTGTCATACAGGCGTGATGGAGTGAGTTCAATCCAATACGGTATCAGAATGGTTTATATTTACACTTCTTATCCAACCACAATCAAATTCACTCTYTCCATTATGGCYTCGGAACCATGACAATGCTTGCGCGCAATCTCGTTTTCTCTCGCGAGAGTTCTGGCAGGATTTTGCCACCATATATAATTACTCCACTAAAGTATAAATAGCCAAAATTTCTACTTAAGTAAAATAACAAAGTATTTGTACTTCACTACTTGACAACACTGTTAAGAAGCTATTTAAAGTGCCTGTAACATCAAGCTTTTGTAATAAATAAGAACGCATTTTTGGAAAGATAACACTGATAACACGTTGCAAAATAAATAAATAAATAAAATCCCATCACTGATAAGAACAGTTGTTGAGAAATTCACATGTGAAGGAGCAAGAAATGATGAGAAAGGAGAATATCTGAGTACTAAAACGGCCGACAACACTGACTGTAGAGGATAGTCTGATTTTTCTTTAGATCCTTTTTGTGTCACTACCAGAGAGAAATAAAGAAGAGTCAGAGTTCAAATAACATTGTTTCAGTAAAAAAGACCAGAGTTAGAGTTCCCCTTTGATGTCACTTCCTGTTTCATTTTGGCTGAGCCAAATTAAAAAGAAAATATGCCAGTTATGTGATAAAATGTGTATTGTGTCAAGTTTCTTAAATGTAAAGAGTTTTCCTTTGACTTTGTATTTAAAGGAAATGCATGTCACAGGCACTTCAAAGGGACTCATTGCAAATGATGAAAGAAAATGATCAAAATGGTGCAGTTTGCAGACTTTTCTCCAGCAGCATGCACTTAATGTAAACAAAGCCCTCAGATGAACCAGTCAAAGCCATGTAAAAGCTATGAGTCACATGACTGACCTACATTAGGCTGGCCGTAATCTGAATGGAAAAGCAAATATGATAGACATGGGATCTCGCATAATCTGCTGCTAAACATAAAAGAAAAGCAAAACAACTGTGGAGAATGAATATGGAGGATCAAACAGGCCGGTAAGTTTATCATTTCAAATTTATCTGCAGACTTTAAATATCAATCAATACATGAAAAATGATCGGACTTCTCCACCCCATGCTCCTCCATGGATGTGTTGGCCTGTTCTGTCAGCTGTTTCTGAAGGTAAACAAARGTCATCCTGCTTATAATGGTTTAATTTAAGGTGCAGAAAGGTTTCTTTATGCTTTTTGTGAACAGTCTATATGATTTTGCAACGAGTAGCTTTGAAAATCTTGGAAGGAATCCTTTGGATTGCATCATATCCTCAGTACAATCTCCCCACGTGGCTTTAAGTGTGTGCGTGTGTGTGTGTGTGTGTGTGTGTGTGTGTGTGTGTGTGTGTGTGTGTGTGTGTGTGTGTG